ATCAACTTTCTGTCTCTATAATTTTGCCTTTTCTGGGTATTGCATGTAAATGGAATCATACAAGACAGGATGTTTAGTGACTGGCTCCTTTCACTAAGCATAATGTTTGAAGTTCATCCACATCATATGTGTCACTTCTTTTTATTACCAAATAATATATCATTATATGACTGTGCCACATTTTTTCTATTTATTCATCAGTCGGTGGACATTTAGATTGTTTCCACATTTTGGTCATCACAAATAATGCTGCTATGCTATGAATGTTCATTTACAAGTTCTTATGTGGGCATATGTCTGTTTTTATTTCTCTTGGATATATACCTAGAAGTGGGATTACTGGATCACACTTTTTAATGTATGTTTAATTGTAGTCCTCATGGTAAACTATAACCCGTATGTTTAACCTGCTATGTTTAACATTTTGAGGAATTGCAAAACTATTTTCCAAAATGCCTGAAACATTTTGCATTCTCTTCAGCAATGTGTAAGGGTTCTAATTTTACCACATCCTCACCCACACTTGTTCCCATCTGTCTTTTTGATGCTAGCCATCTTAGTGGGTATGAATGGTATCTTATTATGGATTTGATTTTCATTTTCTTAATGACTAATGATATTGAGCATCTTTTCATGTGCTCTGTATCTTCTTCTGAGAAAACATTTGGAAGTTATATGTATGACAAAGGATTTGTATCCAGAACATATAGCAAAATCTTACATCTCAATAATAAAAAAATAAATAACCCAATGTAAAAGTAGGCAAAGAATCTGAAGAAGTCTATTTTTCAAAAAGCTCTTTGGTTGGTTGATGTAGGCAACAGAGACTCTGTGGTTTGAAAACACAATGTACTAGTTCTATTTAAAAAGCTTGATAAAAAAAGGAAAAGAGGAATGGCAGCTTCAGGGTCAGTGGGAATTGTTAGCAGGCGGGGGCATGTTTTAGGATGATTGGAAATAACTGAAATTATGTTGTATCTACAGAATGTGTTGTTTATTGAGGAGGGAAAATTTTCTCTTTACTCTCTTCAGTTCAGTGACTGGGAGTATGTGAGTTTGAGTTAAACTAACAACAGACAGATTAACAGGGGAAAACGCACAAGTTTTATTAATATATATATGCACAGCAGTTCATAGAAAAGCAAATATCAAAGAATCAATTGTATATATATATCCTCAAGGTCTGATATATTCTTTTAACAAAGGCGAGAGGATTTTCCCTTCCAGAGATGATACATTTTCAGGAAGTAACCACGAAATACATGGAAGAACTAATGGAGGATAGTGCTACTGTAGTAGGGTCTGGTTATCCAAACTCATCTCAGTGTCAACTCTCCATCTCTGGTTCAAAGGATGATTCAAGGGGAAGCACCTTCACAAAGGGAAATTTATGCCCTGATTTCAGGCAGATAAGAGGTGGGTGAAGAATTCTTTCTGCATCTGTTGATTGTCATTTGCCTTTGGCAAAAAGAACCCTTATGCCAAAGTGGCATATTTGGGGGTAGCATATCCTAACCCCCTTTGTGTTGAAAGAAGTAGAAAGAGCTGAGGCTAAAGTGTTAAGTCAGCCGTCATGAAAGGGGATCTTAAGCTGGGCCTTGACTAAGTAGAGGATACTGCAGATGTAAGAAATAACGTAAGAATATAACCTTTAAAAATTGTGAATCAAAAATAAATAAAATAAAATAAAAATTGTGAATCACTGTGGTACACCTGAAACTTAGGTAACATTGTACATCAGCTATACCTCAATTTAAAAAAAAAGAAAGATATGGTCAAGCCCAAGCAAAGTATAAAAGGACCTGGGAACAGGAACATTTGAGGAATGGAAAGAAAAATTTTGCATATAGCAAAGTTGGATATATTGCAGTATAATGGGAAATAAAAGATTTTGACTGTGTTGTTCTGGGGATAATATACAGAAAGACAGAGTGAAGACAGCTTGGTATTAAGTAAAATTACATCTAGGCAAGTGGTAAAGTTGTGGAATGGAGACAAAGGAGGAACCAAGGGAGGCCAGGCAGAGTGACCGTAGCTAGAGGACTGGATGCCATCCAGGGACCACTCCTCTGTATGCCCTTGGTCTCACCCCACCACTGCCCATGAGTTTTCTCAACTGTTCTCCCTTTTTGTCACAAGATTTCAAGTCCCAGGTAGGGATGCCTGTGCCCTGGATGCTCAGGGCAGAGGGAACATCACTGCTCTTAAACTTCTGCAGAGGGAGGTGAAGAACTGGCTCCCACCAATACCATACACAGGAGAATTCTCCCCAAATGGAAAAGGGGATGGGATGCTGGGCAGCCAAAAGGGGAAGGAGCGCCCAGTGCAGGGCCAGACTGGAGGAGGAAGGGGTAGAAAAATGCTGTGATCAACTTTAGGCAAATCATTCTGGGAGCAATGTAGCATTTGGGCTAGAGAGGGAATAGACTGGTGGCCAAGTGCGTGTGTGTTAGTCACTCAGTCACGTCTGACTCTTTGTGACCCCATGGATTGGGGCCTGTCAGGCTCCTCCATCTTCGGGATTTTCCAGACAAGAATATTGGAGTGGGTTGCCATTCTATTCTCCAGGGGGATATTCTTGACTCAGGGATCGAACCCGGGTCTCCCACATTGCAGGCAGACTCTTTACCATTTGAGTCACTGATATGGGCTAGAGAGGGAATAGACTGGTGGCAAAGAGATCAGTGTAAATGTGTTAAGGGAAGGCAGATTGGAGGTAGACTTATTCCTGAGGGAGAATCTCAGGGACTGATGACCAAAACGATGGAGAAGGTAAGAGAGAAAAAAGAATTTAGGACTTGTTACATGGTGACAATGTCACTAACTGATTCTGAGGATATAAGTGATGGACTGTTTTTGGAGGAAGGTGATGAGGTCATTGGGCGCCCCAAGTGGCACTAGTGGAAAAGAATCTGCCTGCCAACGCAGGAGATAGAAGAGACCTGGGATCCATCCCTGAGTCCGGAAGATCCCCTGGAGAAGAAAATGGCAACCCATTCCAGCATTCTTGCCTGGGAAATCCCATGGACAGAGGAGCCTGGTGGGCTACAGTCCATGGGGCTGCAAAAGAGTTGGGACACAAATGAGCAACTAAACAAGCTCAATTCGCCCTTTGTGCCTGCTCTGAAGCTTTGTCAGAAGAGGGCACTGGAGCGACACTGCAAGAGCCAAGGGAATTGTTTCCCTTGTGGCACCGGCACTTCCCCCCAGTGCCCGGCTGTGGCAGCACCCAGGGGTTCTGCAGCCCTGGGCAGCTGATGGCAGCTTCCCTGAGCTCCGCCCCCACACCCCAACTGTAAGGCAGCTTTGTACAGTGCCTGAGGTATCAGATCTTTCCCTTAGCACCCTAGAACAGGGGTCAGCAAACTTTTTCTGTAAAGGACCAGAGTAGTGAGGCTTTACTTCCCATTTCTGTCACAATTAGCTGCCCTGGTAGTGAAAAACAGCCACACTCAACACATGAACAAATGAGTGTAGCAGTGCTCCAGTAAAACTTTATGGACACTGAAACTTTTATTCCATGTAATATTTTACACTATTTTACATATACTGAAATATCCTTTCCATTTTTTTTTCAACTGGTTAAAAATGCAAAAACCATTTCTAGTTCCCAGTTTTGAAAACAGGTGGTAGACCAGGCTGCAGGCTGTGGTTTGATGACTCCTGTTCTTGAGGGCAAAATTTTCCAGGAAATTCCAGAAGAGATTTTTGACAAGTTCTGCTAGTGCAATACCACTGAAACTTCTCTGCTCTTCATCGAGGCACAGGTCTCTTCATCAGCCCTCTCCCAGGTCTGAACTCCAGCCCAGGGTGTATAGGGATTCTTCTCTGGGTGCTGTCTCAGGCCTGGGGTAATGGCTGTTCCTTTTATCTGCTATTTTCATATTTGTCTATTTGTCTTTAAAAGGTTCTCATTACTTTCGAGGACTGATTTTTGTTGCTGCATAACAAATTATGACAAATTTAGCATCTTAAGTAATAAACATTTATCATTTCACTTTCTGAGAAAGGAGTCCAAGCATAGGGTCTTTTCATCAGGGTCTCAAGGCTGCAGTGAAAATGTCACTGGGGTGCAATCTCATCAAGAGCTGAAGTCCTCTTCTGAGCTCATTTTTTGAGAATTCACTTCCACGGTTGAGCAACTGAGGCCCTCAGCAACCAGGGTTGCCCAGACATTTCCTGATAGATGACTCTCTCCAAAACATGGCAGTCTGCTTTATAGTTAACGAGAGAGTACATCTATTTCTGCTTTTTGTCTCCTACTTTTAGGCACTCTTTTGTAATCTCCCATTTGAGTCAAGTGAAGAGGGATCATAACTGCATCTGGAAAATCCCTTCGCCTTTGCCATGTAACTGAATCTCAGGGGTTATCACCTTGTCATATTCATAGATCCTTCCCACACTCTAAGGCAAGGAATTATATAGAGCATATATATCATGGGTAAGAAATCTTAGGGGCCATCCTAGAATTTTGCCTACTACAGAAGGGATAAAAATCGTAGGTAAATGCTTAAATACAGCTTTTTAAATTTTCTTTAAAATTCTTTTCATAGTATTTTTTTTAAGTTTATCAAAAGCAAAATATTTCAGGATATTTTAACTTCATATAAAATGTGTTTGTACCATAATTATTCAGTTGAAAAACTGGTGCTTCTAATACAGCCAACCTTGGAATTCACATTCCAGAACACTGTCCATCAATTCAGCCTTAAGGTATTAGTCTGCCAATATAGGACACTTTGTCTGAAATAGAATCTTAGATAAGGATTCAGAATAAAATTGCTTGTTTTTTCTGTGTAGAAGTTATACATTAATTATTAATTTTATATTGAGTATACATGATTATCTGGAGGAGGAAATGGCAACCCATTTAGCATGCATACACACACACATACATGATTATAAGGACTCATGCAAATTCTATTTGTAGCTAGCATTCAGAGCATTTCTTAACCTATTATCTTACGTGTATACTATGAAATTTGATTCAATGTGACTCAAAAGTTAGGAAACTCATTTTTTAAATGTTTATTTCATAGTTCATAAAAAAAGTTTATATGTACAAGACTCAAATAGCAAAGCAGCTATTTAATCACAAATGGACAAGACAGTAGTCATTCAGACTACTGCGGAAGCATATTTAATGCATGCCCTTCAATGTTAGGCATAAATAATTCAAACTATCAGTCCAAATTCTGGATTTTAGATCTGTATCCAAAGGACGCTTGTAGTCAAATTTTAAGATTGGTAAAGTCAATTTCTAACTGTTTATATTTTGAGTACAGGTTTAACTAGTACAAACATATGATGTTAACTAACAACACAACAGTGATCTTCAAAGATCTTCTCTTTGCCCCATGCGCGTGTTTATAATCTGAGTCTGTTTACTAATTTCCCTTCTTGTAGTTATTCTTCAAATTAGTGTTATGCATTGAGTTCCCTATGCATCTCACCCATCTCCTTTATCTGAAATAGAGGGGAAAAGAGAAAAAAATTTAAAATAGTTTTAAAATTTCTTGTTCATTCTGGAAATAGCTTAAAAAACAAAAAGCAAGAAAATTCTCTTCCACATTTATGACATTTAATTTTTTTTAAAAGTGTACTACAAGGAAACATACATTGAATACATGATCCAAATTGCTTTTTAGTGATAAGATGGCCAGTGACAGAGAGAAGTAGAAGGTAAGCTAAATATTTAAGGAAGAACCATTTTCTATTATCAGTCTTTTTTATGGGTGAGGGAATTGAAGTTTAAAATTAAATGATTTTTGTCTCAGGTTGCAAAATTAATTGTAGACAGAACCAAGACAAGGTAATGACAACTACTCCAGATGGCAAACATCTTGCTGTGTGGCAAGCGTGGGACTGACACTTCACACAGATTACTCTATTTAATCCTTACAAAAGGTCTGTACTATCATCCCCATCTTACAGATAAAGGAAACATGGAGGCTTAAAGGAAGTTAAAAAACTCACCCAGCTATTAAGTGGTCAGAATTTACATTGAATTCTGATTATATTGATCTGGTCTGTACTGTGAGACTCTCCCTAAGATCCTAAGGTCTACACTGTAAAGGGACTCAAGTGTAGTTGAGATCCATTAGTGTCCGGAAGGTATAGTGATTATGAGGAATAAGAGGTTAAACAAGGGCCTTTTAACTAAATAACCCACCTACCTCAGCTTTTTCATACTTTGCCATTCTTTTCTTTCTGGAAACAACCTAAGTGGAAGAAAAATGATTACTATTTGAGGACTGCTACCCAAACAAAAAGTTAGTCTAAACTGACATACATACTTTTAATGAACACAATTCTGATCTGAACAAATTTACTTTTAAAATCCATAGATATATAACATGTATCTCTGCCACACAAAATATTTAATTTCAATGAAGTCAACTGTATGACTTCCTTCATGGACTCCAGATTTCCCACCTTAATTGGTTTCTTTTACTACAAGGTTGTACAAACATTTCATAATTTTGAGACTTATTTGTGTTTGAACATGGGTCAACTGGTCCACTCCTTTTGTGCTGCTGTGCTTCAGAAGGTGCTATTCACACACAGCTGAGCAATGTGGCCAGCTCTGGTGGGGTGAAATAGAAATCCATCTTTTGTTCTCCTCCAGATGGATAGCAAAAAAGTGTAAGCTGTCGTATACCCTCAAATCTGTCTTTATTCTGTCACGTTGGTAAGATTTCCTGATGCTGAAGCATCCTTATGTATCTACAACAAACCTTGCTTCTTCAGGTGATATGGTCTTCTTCTGAAACACTGCTAAGTTCAATTTACTACTTTTATTTAAACTGTGGTTTCATGTTTATCCTTTTAACTCTTTTTTATGCTAACATTGTGTTTCAATGTTAACATGTGTTCACAATGTGTTCAATGAAATGTAGTTTCATCTCACCGAGTGGTTTGGAAATTCAAATCACTTTGCACTTATCCTGGCAAGAGTGTTGAATTGTACTCTTGTGTGCAGTGAGGACAACAAAAGGACAGCGGCTACTCAATGGCGACATAACCGACCCGTGAAGTGCTCAGCTACAAGCTTTTCTCGGATCAGCATCCTTTCTTGCTCCATAAGGTTGACTATTTTACAAAAAGGGGCCAGAAATGCAATAGATTCATTCAGCATAAAGGAGTACAACAAATGAAGATTTTGTCTCATTAACTTATTTTGGAATATGGTAGGGGCTCTTTCATATTACCACCATTTCTTGAAAGAAAAGATCCTTAAATGATATTTTATTTGTTCCAAACTCACCAAGACAATGATTCCAGCAATAATTGCTACTACCACAACCACGATGACAGCAATAATACCAGCTTGTAGACCCTGCATTGAAAATTCAGGTGGTTTTTCATCAACATAGTAAATTGAAGTTCGACTGGGATCCAGATCCAGTAGTTCGCCATTTACTTTCAGGTCCATCCTTTTGGAATGGAACAAGGATTCATCTTTAACCTATATTGAGGAAAAAAGCAATTTAACATAGTTAAGAAAAACCTATCATGGCCATGAATTATGCGCCAATTATGTACCAAAAGAACTGCTGCCAAGAATCTTTATGGTTTTGGTGATAACAGTCTCATCCATTGAAATTAAAAAAAAAACTTTATGACAGGAAATTTTCAAACATACATAAAAGTAAAAATTATAGTATAATGAGGTCCATGTCCCTATTACTCAGGTTCAATTATATAAACACATGGCCAATCTTATCTATTCTTCCTTTTCTCCAACCCCCTAGCCTCCCCTTGGCCTGGGTACTTTTTTGGGTTTTTTTGGCTACACTGCACAGTTTGTGAGATCTTAGTTCCATGACCATAGATTGAACTTGGGCCCTTGGCAGTGAAAGCACAGAGTCCTAACCACTGGATGGCCAGGTAATTCCCTAGCCTGGTTATTTTGAAGTGAATCCCAAATTTCATCAGAAAATAGCTCACTTTAGTATATTAAAGCTTAAACACACATTTTAGTCCCACCAGTTAAACAGCAATTTTTACAAAGTCTCTTATTCATGGAAATTATAGTAGGGAAGACTAGACTCACAAGCTAAATAACTGCCAAGGAGGTAACAAGAATCATAAAAGAGAAAATATTCTAGGTATAACAATTTGATAAAGAGGCATAAATATATGAACAAGTAAAAAAGTGTATAAGAAAGATGCATGTGAATGAAAAGGAGGACAAAGTTAATTGCCACATGAGAACCACTTGGAGAATATTTATTCATAATGGTTGATCTAAAAGTAGAGAAATAGAAGACATTTCTAAAACAGGAATAAAATAAGAAAGATTATACTCACATCTTTTTCAAAATAATAAGCCACATCAGCAATATCCACATCATTCTGAGTTTTCTGAGAAGAATTTTGTACCAGATCAATAGTGATAATATCGTTCTCATACTGGAGGGGAAGTAAAAAATACAAATTAATATTACTATAATAAAAACTGTATGAAAACATGAAAATATCATTGTTCAACAATCAGAATATTCAGGGGATTTCCCTGGTGGCCCAGTGGCAAAGACTCCATGCTCTCAGTTCAGGAGTCCTGGGTTTGATCCCTGGTCAGGGAACTAGTTCCCACATGCCACAGTTAAGACCCGGCAGAGCCAAATGAATAAATAAGTGTTAAAAAAAAAAAAATTAACTGGCTAGGGAATTCCTAGCCAGTTCCTGGCAGTCTAGTGGTCAGGACTCTGTGCTTTCACTGCTGGGACCCAGGTTCAACCCCTGGCTAGGGAACTAAGATCCTGCAAGCCATGTGGTGTGGCAAA